CTGTGCCACAATGTTCGTTCTATTTTGTCCTTGGGACACAGCAAGCTGGTTTTTACCCAAGTATCTTTGCATTGGCTCTTCCTGCCTGAAATGCACTGTCCCCAGATCATCACAGGATGAACTGTATCCTTCCTGTCACTGAAGTCTCATCATGGATGTTACTTCCTGAGAAAGACAGAATCTGACCAGCCAGTCTAAACCAGGTGACCCTGCCTATCTCTGTGTCATACCATGTATGGCTTTTCTTCTGAATATTTTTCACTGTCTGATTTCTTTTCTATGTGTTGGTCTTCTCTCTGAAGGTAGACTCCATGGAGGCAGGAGTTTTTTTGGTATATTTTTTCTCTACTGTACCCCAAATGCCCTAGAACAGTGCCTGGAACTTTCATAGGAACTTAAATATTGAATGAATGTTGAATACATCTATTCCCCCTTTTACTATATGCACTAGAATGTATGCTTTATGAGAATAGGTAGCTTGTCTTACTCACTGTTGTTATCAGTACCTAGAACCAAGCCTGACCTTATTGGGTTCTTTCAAATATTTGAAAGATATTTGAAAATATTCACATATACCTTGAATGTTAAATGAATAAATGAACGAATGAATTCCCTCTCAAATCCAAGTCATGTTTGCCATCTAACCTGCTGAATGTTACCTAAACCTCTCTCCTGTCAGTACCTCCTACTTCTTTGCCCTGGGAAGCTCAATCTTTGGCATTGGGCACTCATCAACATGCCTTTTATGTGGTTCTGATTCACCTTCTCTCTCTTTCCTGTTAGCATCTAATCAAACATTTTTTATTTCTTTTTTCTCTCTTTCTTTGTTTCTCTCTCTCTCTCTCTCTCTCGTCTCTCTCTCTCTCTTTTTTTTTTTTTGAGACGGAGTCTCGCTCTGTGGCCCAGGCTGGAGTGCAAGTGGCAGGATCTCAGCTCACTGCAAGCTCCGCCTCCCAGGTTTACGCCATTCTCCTGCCTCAGCCTCCCGAGTAGCTGGGACTACAGGCACCTGCCACCTTGCCCGGCTAGTTTCTTGTATTTTTTGTTTTGTTTTGTTTTTAGTAGAGACGGGGTTTCACCGTGTTAGCCAGGATGGTCTTGATCTCCTGACCTCGTGATCCACCCATCTCGGCCTCCTAAAGTGCTGGGATTACAGGCTTGAGCCACCGCCCCCGACCTCTCTTTCTTTTTTTAGGTCTTACTTTGTCACCCAGAATGGAGTACAGTGGCATGATCACAGCTCACTGCAGCTTCAACCTCCCAGGCTTAAGTGATCCTCCCACCCCAGCGTCTGGAGTAGCTAGGACCCTAGGCACATGCCATCGCACCCAGACAGTTTTTAAAATTTTTTGTAGAGAAAGGATATCCCTATGTTGCCCGAGCTGTACCAAACTCCTGGGCTCAAGTGATCCTTCTGCCCTCAGCCTCCTAAAGTGTTGGGATTACAGGCGTGAGCCATCATGCCTGGTGCATTTCTTTTTTTAAAAAAAGACTCCAATTACAATTAGTTTATACTTCTATCTTACATTTCACCTGTGCTACAATGTTTTTTGGTCTGCCTGCTTTTTGACTTTATGAGACTGAAAAGTCTTGTTAACTTTTATATTTTCAAAACCTGTGACAGTACCTGCTTATATCGTATATTTGTATATTGTATGCCCAACAAAAGTTTCTTGTATTCTCATTTTTACCCTCAAACAGCTATGTAAGGCTTTCTGTGTGTATGAATATTTTCCTTATTTTGTAAATTCAGAAACTGAGGCTCAAAGTTGTTAAGGTTTGTTTCCCCTAAAGTCTCCTTCCTAATAAACTACAGAGCAAGGGCATTTGACTGAGGCTTTTGTCCTCCTTAGCATTATGTTACCACTTTCTTCAAACCTTCTCACCCCCTTCTCTCTAGAAATCAATCTTGCTTCGTGTCACTAAGAAATACGGCATTCTCACATCTATAAGAAACTTAAAAAAATTTACGAGAAAAAACAAACAACCCAATAAAAAGGTGGACAAAAGACATGAATAGATGCTTCTTAAAAGACATGTGGTCAACATTCATATAAAAAAAGTTCAACATCACTGATCATTAGAGAAATGCAAATCAAAACCACTATGAGAAACCATTTAACACCAGTCAGAGTGGCTGTGATTACAAAGTAAAAAAATAACAGATGCTGGCAAGGTTGTGGAGAAAAAGGAGCGTTTATACACTGTTCAGCCATTGTGGAAGACAGTGTGGTGATTCCTCAAATACCTACAGACAGAAATACCATTTGACCTATTACTGGGTATATATCCAAAGGAATATAAATCATTGTATTATAAAGACACATGCATTGTACGTTCATTGCAGCACTATTCACATTAACAAAGACATGGAATCAACCTAAATGGCCATCAATGATAGACTGGGTAAAGAAAATGTGGTACATAAAGAGCAGTGAATACCACACAGCCATAAAAGGGAACGAGATCACGTCCTTTGCAGGGCATGACTGGAGCTGGAGGCCATTATCCTTAGCGAACTAATACAGGAACAGAAAACCAAACATCACATGTTCTCACTTGTAAGTGGGAACTAAATGATGAGAACACATGGACAGATAGAGGGGAACAACACACAGTGGGGCCTTTCAGAGGGTGGAGTGTGGGAGGAGGGAGAGGATCAGGAGAAATAACTAATGGGTACTAGGCTTAATACCTGGGTGACGAAATAATCTGTACAACAACCCCCCATGAAACAAGTTTACATATGTAACAAACCTGCATTTGTACCCCTGAACTTAAAAGTTAAAATAAACAAAAAATAATTTTAAAAAATACGAAAGGAAATACGAGGTTCTGAACTCTTTCAATTTTTTGTCTTTATTCCTGGAAAATTGGTACTCACTTTAATCTTCTTCCTTCTAGTCTAAGATTAAGAGATGTAATTCCAATTTTCCCAGCTCCGTGAAGGGTGTCTTTTGATCAGTCAGCTATTTCTTTCTGTTTCCACACTTTACACCCCAAACTTGAGGGGACTCAGTCTTGTATAAGCACATTGTACTCTTTTCTGTCTCAGTTTACTGTTCTTTTTGGTTTAAATGCCTTTTTTTTTCCTTCTAACACTTGGTCAACTTTCAAAGCTGGAAGGAAGCATCACCTCTTTTAAATATGAAGCCTTTTCACAAAGGAGGGAATGATGATTGACTCAGTTTTATGTCTATTCTATACACTGTGCTATCAAAGCATGCAGAGTATGTATTGCATATATGTTTTTCTTTAGTCTCTCTGGAGGCAGGGGTTATATCTTTGGCATTTATCTCTGGATAAATTTTACCTGTCATTGTGTAGGCATTCAGTAAATGTTACTTTCATGATCCACTTATTTTTATTATGGCCAATGATAGTTCTGGAGGTAAAACGTCCTGTGTTGGTGGTGATGGGAGAAATTTTTTCATATCAACTATCTTCTCTTCCTGTACTTAGGAGTTTGATATTTTGTCTACTTTAATGTAATCTCTAAAAGAAGACCTCTTCCCCTACATTTGTGTTTAAGGAAGCAGATGAATTCTTATCTAAGACAAAATACATAGTGCAAAATTTAGCCAGTGTTTCAAAGAAATATGAAACAACATGCCAAAACATGATTCTCCCATTAATGTTTTAATCTGTAAATATGATGATGTTATTAGGTCATCAACCCATAACATAACATGGAAAGTTATGCTGTGAACCCAAACTTGAGCTCATTTGATTACAATTTTAAGAGCTAGGGAAAGGGTAAATGCAAATACCTAAGTATCTATTAGATACTCTTTTTACACCATATCTTAATTTTCATTAATCATTTCATAATTTGACTTTACTTTTTATCTCCTGTTTTATGGATTGCCAATCATTTCTGGTAATAACCATTCTTTATGTCTCCACTTAGCAGTCCAGTACCAAATTCCCCAGTTGCTACTGTAAGATTCGTGTAAGCTAACTTTACGATTGATGTCTATCCCCTTGTGAAGTATATGTAAGTTCTAAAATCTTGCTGTCTGTGGCTATGTCTTTTTTGCTGCCTAATCTTTGTTTTGGTTTATATTTCCTGCCTAGGCCTATGATTTTTTTTACCCAGTTTCCTCCCTGCATTACAAACCTGTTGCCTACAGCTACATCTTCCATCCACATGATAATCTTCTGCCCTGGGGTTTACTCATAGACACCCACAGCTGGCTTTATCCCGTTTCTCTTTTGTTTCCTTTGGTTTTCTTTCAATCCTTAGCTAGTTCCCTGAGTTATAGGGGAGCAGTATTAATCACTTCCCAGGGTGTCCCTGAGCCCATTCTTCTTAACTGTGTCCTCTTCCTGTAACTTTTTGGGTTCAGAGAAGCTTATCTTTCCTTCCTGTGACCTGCCTACATTTAAAGAGATTATGCAGATCTCCACTGGTCATTCATTATTGCCATATTCTGTCTTCTCAGAAAAAATGTTCTTTGACAAAGCATGCATTGGACTCATTTTTTCTGCTCATTATTGAGGCCCAATTATCTTCAAATCGCTTTACATTTATGCCAGTTCCATTGTGTGGCAGGTCTTTAACCCAAACCACTTTCTTAAAGCAACACAACGTTTCCTCCATGGTATCCTCAGAGGGGCCTTTGGCATTCAAGTTTTTGCCCATGAGATGATAAGTGGCTTCTATTCTTAGAAACTAGAGCAACAAATACTATATTATAGTACCATTAAATACTTTTACAGTTTCCCAAAATGTCCCATCCTTCTCATTAGACTTCATATAAGAAGACAGACCAAGTCCAATGTGAAGAATTAGGCCAGAACTCAATGGAAGAATCAAATGTCCATTTCTACTTAGACTATTGCAATAAGTTAGCAAAGGTAGAGTGTATCTTGGACTAGGGTAGTATCAGTAGTAGTCTGAAAAATGTTTGGATTTTGGATATATTTTGAAGGGAAAGCAAATCATCCATGAAACTGTACTAATTGTTCCTCTGCTATTCTTTTTTCTGTCTTTTTAGTTTCGCTATTCAAATTGGCTTGACAAGTTGTATATGGTGGTGGGAACTTTGGCTGCCATCATCCATGGAGCTGGACTTCCTCTCATGATGCTGGTGTTTGGAGAAATGACAGATACCTTTGCAAATCCAAGAAATTTAGGAGCTCCGTTGCCAAACAACACTAATAGCAGTAAGTATTGTTTGTGTACCAGTTTTATTGGAAACTTGCAGCAAAAACAAGCACTTTGAGTGATGTTTGTGGATTCTTTACTAAATACACATTAGTGTGTTTAGTCCTGTAGGAGGCAGACAGTCTGAGCTATAATTCATATTTGTAGTGAGTTAGAAAAGATAATATTTACAAGCATTACAACACACAACTGAAGTGCCAGCAGAGATATATAGAAAAAGAGAGAGCTCTGTGAAGTCAGAAATATTCTGGAAAGCTTCAAGAAGAAATATAGGAACTTAATTAGAACCTTGAATGGTAAGTAGAAATCAGTTGTGAGATTTCCTAACAGATTGAATATGGGTGTAAGAGGAAAAGTTCCAGATGATTCTAAAGTTTTTAGCCCTAGAAACTGGGAGGATGCAGTTACTATCAACAGAAATGGGAAATGGAGAAGGAGAGTGGATTTGAGCAATAAATGCCAGAAATTTAGTTTTGGACATTGTTATATGTTGGGCTCTCTGGAAGCTGATTCAGCAATGGAAAAGTGGGGCTGAATTGTGTGTGTGTTGGAGGGGGTGTATTTTAGGATAAGATAAATAATAGCTTGTAGCTTGTTTTGTGTGTTAATGGAAATGATCCTAAAGAAAGGAGAAAGTGATGTTTGAATGAGAGAGGGAAGAGATTTGCTAGAGTGATATCCTTGAGAAAGAATGGAATCCAGTGCTGTGGAGGGAAACAATAACAGGTGGGAAAAGCGAATTTGAGTGTCACTACCCAGTGGTGGATAGATGAGGAGGTGAGAATCTGTGGAAGTTTTCTCCTGGTAACTTTAGTTTTCTCAGTGAAGTAGGAAGCGAGACAATTGGCTGATAGAGACAGAGAAAACAGATGTAACACAGCTCTTAAGGAAAGTGGGAAAGTGAATAGACTACAGAAATAATCTGGGTGTAACATACATATTCTCTCTTTCTGTCTCTCTCTCTCTCTCTCTCTCTCTCTCTCGATGGGGAGGAATGGATTGATATCTCTTGAGTTTCCTAGGTTACCTCTGGTTAAGCCTAGATTGATTTAAACTAAGCTACTCAAAAACTTACAATCCAGTTTGCACTTAGGTGGTCAAATGTTGAAAATGCCTGTTTGAGAATGTACTTGAAAATATAGTGATACCACTTAGCTTACAAGGACCTTTCAACTTTTGAGCTTTCAAGTTTCTGATGAATGCAATGAGTCACTTCCTCAGAAACATGCACATAAATATTCATACCAATCTCGGGTGTAAATGGATCTTTTGATATTTTTCAGTGGGTCCTTGGAACCACTTTGTGATCCTGGAAAGTACATTGTTTACCCTAAGGTAGAATTACTTCAATTCTGTGGATGCAGGTAATAGGCTGGGCTGGAAAAATTTTTGTATGTTTGAGCTGTGTAAAATTCTTATGCATTTATTACTTTCTTTCGCGGCATTCAAAGGAACCTGCAGAAAGACGCTGTACCACCTTTGAACTGGTACCTTTCTTTTACACCATTCACCAAAGGAAGTCCTCAATGCTTTCTGAATTCATTGGTTCCTATACATGCTATATTGGGCAATATTCTATGGCGTTAGCTCTCTTAGTGCTTCATAGTGGAAGAATCAAATATTTCATCACTCTCTGGTGGCTCAGCAGACCTAATGGGTACATCTCTGTCCATTCAGATCTTGCTCACTTTTTGATGGCTTCCCGGCCTTGAGAATTGTGAGAAATAAATTTCTATTGTTTGTAAGCTCCCAGTTTATGTATTTTATTATACCATCCCAAATGGACTAAGACACATAGTAAACTCACTTACTTACTTAGTAGCATGTGTGAGTTCCCAGACAGATGATGATCTAGTTGTGATAACTAGCTCTTTTCTGGATAGGCCCATGTGTCTGTATGCCTATCAAAATCTCCTAGGCTAAACAGTGGCCACATCACCACAGCTTGCCAGGTAGTAATTTAGATTTCCATCTTCATAGATATCTAGTTTCCAGTTGAGATTGTAGTTCACATTGCACTCCTTGCCAGCCATTCCCATTAAGCTCACTCTTCTAATCTTGAGAATGCGAAAGAGAAAGCTTAGAGAAATATTTGAAAGTTTACTTTTGTTATCTTCTTAAGAGGGGGTATATTTAGTGGTTAGAGAACAGACTCTGGAGTTGAACTACCTGGCTCAAAAACCACACCGTTACCAATTTTTAGTTTTGAGGTTTAGGGAATTTATTCATACTTTATTAAGTTGGATAACAATAGAACCTACTTCTTAGGATGGTTGTGATATTTAAGTGGATTCATTCATTGCAGAATCACAGAACAAAGTTTATGGCCAAAGTCTAGTCATAAAAAGTACTCAACAAATATTAGTTACTGTTATTATCAACAGGCTTTCATGTTCCTCACAAATGAAATTACATAACTTGCAAATATGATATGGTTCCTTATATAATTTTTCTTTACAAAACTCTATGATACTACCTCAATTTTTATAGTTGTTGAAAGTTTGAGACATACCCAAAGTTACTCAGTAGCTATTATAGATGTGAGTAATCACCCCTTTAAGTAGTATTTCCTTGGTTACTGAATCACCAGCCATGCCTTTCAGGGAAGGTAGGTTTCTTCAAACTATGACCCCGGGCTAATTTGGCCTGCTGCCTCTTTTTGTACAGCCTGTGAACTAAGAATGGATCTTACATTTTCAAATCATTGGAAAAAAAAATCAAAAGAAGAAATTATATTTTGTGACACATGGAAATTATGTGAAATTTAAATTTCAGTACCTGTAAATAAAGTTTAATGAAATGTAGCTACACCTATTCATTTATATTTTATGAATGTAAGCAGCCTATGACTGCTTCTATGCCACAATGGCACAGTAGAGTAGTTGTACAAACCATATGGTCTGAAGAGCCTAAGATATTTACTATCTGGTCCTTTATAGAAAAAGGTTGCCAATCTCTGAGTTAGGGTATTAAGTGAGGGGTTGTTGTCTTCAGTCAATCCATCAGTTAATTTGTATTAGAGCATTCTGTGTGCCAGTCATAGTATATGCCCTCATCATTCCCAACTCTTGAGAAGCTTAGTATAATGGGAGGGATGGACAAGTGAACCAGTAAATACAGTTGAATATGATTAGTGATATAATACAGAGATAAATAAAATGCATTGGAAAAACAGAGAAAGGACACCTGACTCCATATAGAGGAATCATGGGAAGCTTCCAAGAGGAGGTGATAACCAAGTATGGTCAGCATCTGTCGCCTACACAAAATGTACATATTCTGGGTAACAGGTGAAACCATTTGAAAATAAAGATTAAATAAGTAAGATTAATACTCTCCCTCACTGCCACTCCTCATTTCCACTCCCCCCACCATTGTGTATCCTTGCATGCCTTTGTAAAGACAGCATACTATCTTTACTGCGATTTTCACTTTAGGACACTTAGTACACTATCACTAATCTGCATGTGTGCAGATTCAGACTGTCAGAGACCCTCAAGGCTGCCTGGAGAGGGGGGAATAGCATCAAAGGTTTTGATGCTTGTCCCAGAGATGAGGGCAAACATATTCTGTCATGCCTGTGGAGGGAGAACCAGCCTACTAAATTCTTGGGGCCCCAGATACTGTCAGATCATTCTTCTTTTTGCCTTTCCCTAGGCAAAACCTCATTATCTCTCCATGGGGGTGGACTAGATACCAGAGCCTCTTTATTGGAGAAATATTCCTTGCTTAAGGGGACTTGGATTTGCCAAGGCTCTTGAAAGCCTGGAAGTTTTTACACTAAACATAGGATCTAATTAGACAGCTCTAAAAACTTCTTGAGTAAGCAGATCCTTCTTTGTTGCTGCAACAGAACCCTCATAAGTTTTCTCGTCCCAATACTTTGCCGTAATTAACAGATATCAGCTTTTGTTCTGCTGTTTTCCTATGGACCAGATTTCCTGACAGCCACTCCCATGTATCTCTGGTTTAATTATAGAATATGTGCAGACTTTGCCTTAAAATCTCTGATGACTGGAGCCTAGGGAACTCTCTGGTTTTGTCATACCACTTTTTTTGTAAACAAAGCTTAATCACTAATGAATTTCTGTAGTATTCTGTGAATTCTCATCTCCCTTATGAGACTGGCCACTATCCGGAAATGATCCTAGATAAAGGCGATTGTGGTTTTAAATGTGTTGTGGTGAAGATGGCAGGTGGGGCGCATGTAAAATGATATCCAGGCAGTTGAAGAAATGACACTAAATCTTGGCATAAAGAATAGGACTAGAAGCTGGGCGCGGTGGTGTGTACCTGAAGTCCCAGATACTGGAGAGGCTGAGGTGGGAGGATCACTTGAGGTCAGAAGTTCAAGGCTAGCCTGGGCAAAATAGTGAGACTTTGTCTCTAATAAAACTTAAAAGATTTAAAAAAATAAAATGTAAGGAGGAGGTGGAACAAGATAGCCAAACAAAAGCCTCCAGAAATCTTCACTCCTGCCCCCATTCCTACAGGAACACCAAATTGAACAACTATTCACAAAACAAAGCACCTTCATAAGAACCAAAAACGAGGTGAGCGACCACGCTCTTTGGTTTTAGCATCATACTGAGGAAGGAGGCACTGAAGAAGGTAGGAAAGAGAATCTTGAATTGCCTGCACCATTCTTCCCCTCCTCCACCAGCAGCACGTACTGAAGAATGAATCACAGTCTCTTAATAGCTAAATTGATCAAGCAGAAGAAAGAATTAGTGGGCTTGAAGACAGGCTATTTGAAATACACACACTCAGAGGAGATAAAAGAAAAAAGAATAAAAAGAATGAAGCATGATCACAAGACCTACAAAATAGCCTTAGAAGGGTAAATCAAAGAGTTATTGGCCTTAAAGAGGAGGTAGACAGAGAGATTAGGGTAGAAAGTTTATTTAAAGGGATAATAACAGAGAACTTCCCAAACCTAAAGAAAGATATCAATATTCAAGTATAAGAATGTTGTAGAACACCAAGCAGATTTAACTCA